AATAATATAATCGTGAATCTATACAAAGACATATGAATCTATGTAAAGACGGAGCATCATAGAAGATTCTATTTCATGATAGAAGCCCATGACTGATGTTATGCTTCATGCCTACGTTTGATGGCCGTATCTCCAAGTGTCTATATGTCAGACGCTGAAGTGCTCATTATTTCGTGTGATTGTGTTTTGGCGAATCTATCGAGGTCCGTGCATTCCTGATTCTTCATTCCTGGATACATGTCGTAATATTCATGTGATTTTTTGATGGTTGGAATATTCTTCGATCTCTTTACCCAAACATAATTATATACGCCTGTTTTCTTAAATGAATACAATTATATATCCCGCAACGAGTTAGTTGTATAACATATTTTGGTATACCTCCAAAGAAGAGAGAAAGGGCCGAAATGTCATTCATCCTACATGCTCGCGTTGTAGACATGTAGCAATTAATGACATAATGAATTCGCCACATCCTGGCGATGAGAAATCAATTTTATAGATATGGTAATATCTACCTCGATATTTCGTGGATATTCAATATTCCTGTGCCGGCATTGTTGCGCGTAATGTCAAGACACTGAAGCGGGGTGATTGAACTCGGTAAATGGAAAGATAATCCGCATCTGTGGTATTGCGATATATATAATTAGAAGAAGATTATTAATTATTATTTTATAAAGAGAGATCAATTATTGCTTACGAGAAGCAAATGATTTACCATTGCAATTATTAATTATCTTTTACAAAAGAATTATATTTTACGTAGTTACTAGACATAAAGTGAGACTTACATTAATATTCAATACGAATCGCGACAGCATTATTAATTACGCAAGGCCGTTTCTCGGCAGTGTTAAATTGATAAATGCATCAGAAATGTAACTTTTAATAACAACATCATGAAAAACATCGGGAATCATGCATAATATTAATGTACGATTAATATATGTATGTAACATATATATTTTATTTTTAGAACAAATTTTTATTTTTAGTATAAAATTTTTTTCCTCTGTTTATTTACGCTTTGCTTTTCGAGCACTATAAATTTATTCAACTAGGCACAAGGACCACTTATTTTTGTTATTGAGATAAAGAAAAGGTTTGTATAAAAAGATTGATTCATGGAGAAATAATAGTTCAGACATTTGTTCGAGCGTTTTAAATCTTAAACAAGAGTTTTGTAGTTAATTTCTTACATTTCGTTATACTAGCCATATAAAATTCTACGGTAAGGAAAAGCATGGCGATTTACATGCACGTCATCTCTGTTTCAGATCGGTGGATCACCATGCTTACCTTCCAACTCACTTATATGATCGTCCTTCTGGCCGCGATTTTCCTGTAAGTATTAAAAATGATGGAGCAGTAATGAGTAAAATGTAAAATACTTCTTAGAACAGTATTCATAATTTTTATTTCACCGTTTTAAATAATGTCTTAAGATGCTAATTCAGCTCTCCGATTCATTCATGATATCTTAAGATTGTACTTAAAATAGTCATAAATAGGACAACTAAAATTATGCTGTAAAAATCCCCTTTTAAGCGTTTAAAATATGCTCAAAATTGAAAAAAATGCTCTAAAGAAAAGAATATATGCATTTGGAAATTATTTTTTATTGCACAAATTTTCAAATTATTAATTAAGTTTTTTACTTATAATAACGTAATCATAAACTTAAATTAGAAAATGAAATATACAATAAAAATAGATAAAATATGTAAATATTGTGCACGTGTGGGTGAAATATGCAAAAATATGTTGTAACATATAGGGCTCAAAATGAATAATTTCTTATGAAACAAATTTGTATTTAGTTTATTTCTTTATTAGTCGAATGAAAAAAACATGCCCTATACATATTTTGGTTACTTTAGTCATAAATATGAAGACTGACTACGAATACCGGCCTTATACTGTATATACTAGTATGTTACGGTAATTAGAGCGCATATGAAGTATGGAAGGATGAATGAGGTAAGAATTTATCGTAAACCGAGTCCCCTTCTTGGCTATGTAAATGCTGAAGTGTAATAAATTCTATTCTATTCATACTTTACGGTAATTAACATAGTTTTAATGGTGTTACAGGATCGACAAGTGCCGCGCGCATCCCGCGATTGCCCAGCGGCACGAGCCGAGACCGCTGTGCG